TTCTGTTTTGACAAACTCAATTTTTTAATTATTTTTATCTTCAAATATAATTCGGTCATTTTAATGCATAAAGATATGAAAAAGACAAATATGCTTACAAATACAACAAATCATCGTGTTCCCATCCTTAATACCAGTATATACTTAGCATGAACCAAATTCAATGATGACTCATCATGTTTACAGCTTCATAAGCATTTATTATTTTTAGAACATCATGCCTATGTGTAAATATATATACACTATCTGAAGTATTCGTTCCGCATCTTTTCAATTTCGCTATCTTTCGTATTTTATTGATTGCACGTGATCGCTGAACCCCGAATCACGTGTGTGGTAAACTCTAGTCCAAGCCTATACTTGTTTTCATTATCTTTAGTTTATATTTCTTAAACCAAGTCTTGACGTCATGACATAACACTGGAATAAATAGCCGTTGCCAAATCTGATATCGTAGGCGTCATCAAACAATATAAGAAAAAAAGCATGTATGATGATCTACGTTTAGTTTACTGTGGTAGATAAAACATAATTGTGCACAAATCACGCTCTACGCATCTTCTTTTTAAAAAAGTACACGTATTGTCGTCTTCTACAAAAGAATGACGGATTAAAAATTTGAATATCTTGTTAGAGGTAAATGCTCAATAAAAGTGTATATAAAGTAATCAAATGACTGATTTAACATTATCAATATCTTTATTTCGTATGGGTTAGTCTTTTATAAAATTATTGTTTGCCCCGTTTACAGTAACCTGACAATTACCTGACATGTCCGCTACTAAAACCTCCGATATAATTTCCAATTAAAAAAACCCGAAAACTTTTTTCCTAAATCGACACGTTCGCCTTTCAAGCACAATTAAGGTAATCTTTACTCACAATAATTGAGGATTTGTGAATCCCTAATAACAGGACATACCGATCAAATGACCGACTTTATGAGAATATTTCATGGAAAGGAATTCTGAACCTTGTTTTCACGTCGATATTTTTATGTAGGGGCTCTTGATGTATCTTATTTTGTTTTGACGTCTCCTCGCTTCCAGCTGGTGTCATATAGCATCGATTGCCGGTCTGACTTTGTCATTGTGCGCTTATTCAGTTGTAAAGACGCCATTAGGAAAGTTTGTTCTGTGGTACAAAAAGGAGTAACAGTGTTTTGGTGTCTCCTCAATCCGATTCCTGCCCTTGTCTTTTCGCATTAACTTGCCTTTTTGTGTTGATTCAATGGTAAACACATTTTAGGAAAGCTGCTTCTGTTGTCAAAAGAGTACAACAATCCGCAGGGTGAAAGAAAGTGTATAAATAAATATAACATTTCAAGTTTAGATATGAACTGACAAATAATTAATCTGTTTAGTAATATTTAGCAAGTTAACGTTAAAAATATCGAATCATAATGGAATTTACAAAGAAAACGCAAAAAATGGCTTATGAAACCTTACGCACGTCTACACGTGTCATCATACGCATTAAGATTACATCATTTAAATCCAAACATTAAAATAAAACAGAAACAAAAAAAAATCTCGATGATGAAAGATCCCAATGGCGTCGTTAGGATTTTGTGTATCGCACGCTCTCCTGAATTATATGTAGCATGAGATTGCTTCGTAGCTCCTGTGTTAAAGCGTACACAGCCTATCTTTTACGTACACCTTTTTTCCTATAAGTGCACCGATGTTTTGAGATAGTTCCAGATGTTAGGCTCGGGCTATTTATAGATGCTATTTTCGATAACATAAAATCTGCACAGCCTGTTCTATTTTTGTATCACACATTACTGGTTCCTATTTGATATGAATTGTAAGCTCGTAAACAAGTTTCCCTCGTCATCAAAATCTGTAAATCAAATTTGAAAAGATGGTAATGAAGCGAATTGATAACCGCAGAGGCTTGCACGAACATCCAGATAGCATGTTGTAAGTGTCTTTATCTGATTAAGCTTAATAGCAAGCTGTTACATCATGTTATTTTATAACAATAATTAATGTATATAAAACATGCCATAAATATAGTCCTCCCAAATTATCTTGAATTCATAATGTCGAATTAATGACATAAGCGTATGCTAACAACAAAATTCAATTTGTTTTGGTCAAAAAATATTTATCAAACATATCTAACTTGTTGTCTAAATCTCACAAATAGCTATCAAAACAACATTAAAAATACATTATATCGTATATAGGCTTACTTATCTTAGTTTCGATTTGAGTTTGATGTATACTTTTTCCCTATCTAAAATGTCTTATGTATTCTCGCCATACTACCAGGGCTGATGTGTTACCTGTTCATCCAAAAGATGGTTCAGTGCAAACACTGTTCTGATCTGCCAGGTATTGCTATAGCTAGTACTCCGCATGAACAGATTCTGGGTCTGATTTCAGGACCCACTTGTTCGAAGCGCCGAATGTTCAAACTTGAATATTTTCATAATTATTGCATTTTCCTCTAAAACTACACCATCTTCAACAAAATTAATGAAAAAACATTTGTACTATTTCAAAATTGTTTCAGATAAAAATGCATCTTAGAAATGTTAGTACGCAGTTTGTTGAGCGAAATGTGCTTCTGTCTATCTTCTTGTGTTCTGGACAAACACATCCAGCCTTCATCAGATATGTTTGCTTGCTTCGTTGCAAACCATTGTTATGCTGGGCAGTCAAATGAATCTGTAAAAGCATTCTTAGTTTCCAACGTTTCTTTCTATCTCCTTTGCAATGTTGAGTGATCCTTGTGTTGCTTTTTAGCAATGACGTAAACGTATTATTCTTTTGGGGTTTTTTTCCGTTAAGAAAAGCATAGTCGATTTCAGAAACACCCACGAATCAGTTAGCTAACGATATCTGCTTAATAAAGAAATAGACAACAAACCGTGCAAATAGGTGGCTTAGACTAATCAGTGTGCATTATATTGCCCCTGTTTCATCGATTTTGAGCTCATATTTTGTTTTGTTTACACTTTGGTATTCTCTTGTTTTCTGACATAAAATATAACTTTCCTGCAGTAAAATATATAATCTTAAATATGTCTTACGTATCAACAAATCTCATAACTTTACTCTCCCCCTACAATGTTTTACACTTAGATCGGGCGACGTGATGGTTGCTGCCTTTTTATTTTTAGATACGTATTATATTTATTTTTTTAAAAGACACATTTCTTGTAGTTTGAAATAATGTATACAGCACAATTCCAGTTAGAAGATGAGAACAATTTGTTAAGACGTATACTGTTTCCACATTCATCAACGCTTCTTACAAACACTGATAAATACCTTATTGTGAAGCAGACAAGACTTTATAATGGCCGTTTTATTTCTAAGATACATGATATGAAAACATGGTTGGAATTATCGGTTAGTATTTCCTGTCTGTCAATATAGTCGATAAACTTTTCACCCCTACTGCCCGAGTGTAGTGGCGAACGTTTAATTGGCAATATATCACTTATTCTCTACGTAGGAGGTTAAAGTACGATATATACACAAGGTTATAGTATACCGGTTGGTGTAAATAAACAAATAACGATGTTTCGAAACAAACGTAACGTGTGTCACGCAAGTTCAAAACACCAACTACGCAATTCACCTGACCTTTGCCCTATTGAAAGATAGTATTTTTGATGAAGATATATCATGTTACGAGTGCATAAATGTACTATAGAAACACGTAACGTTTAATCGCGAATCAAATACGTACTGTACGAAATCCAGCAAAACAAGAGGATAAATAACTTACGTTAAACTTTGAATTACAATAACACAATTTAAAGAACACAAACTGTTTCTCATGAAGAACATTCATTTGAAAGCGTTTTAACTTAATCGATTGAAATCACGGTTAATCCACCAATAATTTACAAATCAGAAATTAAATAAAATGAAAATGTGCTATAAATGATATACATGTATCAATGAATACCTGAACACTCGCGCAAGGTTTTATCAGCTTATTGTGTTAAATGCTTCCATATTGATTGTTTTTGGAGCAGAGGTATTTCACAGTTTTGCAGTCATCTGATGTTTTTTTTCATTCTTTTATTTTTATTTTTACAATTTACAAATAAAATATACTAAAAGATTCGATGATTATATCTTAAGATTATGCATGGGTTCATACATAAATGACGTAAAACGCATTTTTCACAATGAAGCCTTAGTTTGTTTGCGGCACAGTAACACTTCATCCCCACGGTTACACGTAATGATCATAGTTATACACTATATTACCATAGTTACACAATATCACCATATATATATATATATAAATAGAATATAAAGAAAACTTCTTAACAACGAGTCTTTAGTACTTTCATCTCTTCTAGGATATTCTTCAGACTCTATAAATATACCTATGTTACAATCTCTCATCTGGTTACGCTATAGAACCATTGACACATTTTATCAGCATGGTTACACTATATATATCTGTTGTAACGCTATATTACAACAGTTACAGTTACATTGTATCATCAAAAATTGCACTGTATCGCCACAGTAATAAGATATCACCAAAGTTACACTTTATCACCAAAGTTACCTGTTATCACCATAGTTACATTATATAACCATAATTAAACTATATCACTGGAGTTACAATCTGTCCCCATGGTTGCACTTTATAACCATAATAAAAAAAAAATCTACAGTTACACTACATCGCCATAGTTACACAATATCACCACACTTACACTATATCAACACAGTTACACTATATACCCATAAATAGTTTATCACCGCAGTTACACTACAACAGCACAGTTACATATGTTATTACTATAGTTACACTTTATAACCATAGTTATAATATATCACCTTGGTCACACTTTATAACGTATTACATTATATTATTTGAATTAAACATTCCTCTTCAAGACATACTATAGATCTTATATATCAAATCTCAAATTTAGAAATTGCCTTCAAACGAACGTACCGCGAAATCAAGGCCAAAAAATGTATAATACAATGTTCTTGGTTTTAACTTTGCAGTTATCGAAGGACAAAGGGAGGAAGAATTGACCTCAGTCCACAAGATGAAGTTCGAGTTTGGTGGATTGAAAAACACGGATGAGACCAACGGAGCTGAAGGCAAGGACAGATTGAACGAGAGGTATAATGACTTCATTGGAAATATTGGTGGGAATTTAAAAAATGATTCCCTGGTCGACGAAGACTTTGAAAGTGTAAAGAAGAGAATGCTGGAGAAGCTGGAGGCTGGTATTGGTGGTGATGATGACAGTGGTTTAGACGGAAGTGTCTCAACAGTAGGCACAGACATCGGACAAGTTTCAGACTTGTGGACAAGAAAGGGAAAGAATCTTGAAAACATTTCTGAGGGAATTCATTCTGACTCCAGTATTGGATCCGAGACAGGTCATGATGATTCAGCATTTGGGGCATTTGACTCGAATGACAGCTCTTCGAATGTCAGTGTCGACCCTTTGAAGCAACGTTCGTCGAATCGTGCAGGTGTGAAAGCAAATGATATCGAAAAGGATTCTGATTGTAAAGGGAAAGGACAAACAGATGACTTCGCAAGTAAGAAAAGTGACATGATATCGAGCGGAAAGAACATAACATTTAAAGTTGATAGAGTCGACGAGGAGGAATCAGGAAAGAAGCCGAAAAAAGACAAGGAATTTCATGATGGCACTGCATCAGCTGACGAGGAAGAAGATGACGTCTTGGACCAGCTTGTTGAATTTATAGGGGCTGGAAAGCGTTTATCGAGAAGACCTACAGATGACAGCGGTTTTGGGGACGACGATAATTGGATGGATAGCTCAAGTGACAGTGAACACGGGGCATCCGATCACGTGGAGGGTTCTGCTTCGTCTCGTTCAGACAGGAATCGGAAAACATCCGGTGACAGACGACATAGACATCCCAAAGCAGACAAAGGTAGAGGAACTGAAGCGAAATCAAGCAAACACAAAGAAGGTAAAAATAAGGGCAGCGATGACTTAAACGTAGGACTCAAAAATAAGACAATGGGGAAAGAAACTGTGGATGATGACAAGAAAATCGTTGAGGAAAGTCTTCTTCAACAGAAAAAGAATAACGTGAATTTTGCATCGGCGGAGGAAGAAGAACCATTACGTCAAATTGATGTTTTGCCGACCGAGTCAGGCCTCGACACAAATGGAAATATTTCCGATCATCGGCATAAAAAGAAAGGGTTGGGACATGGCGCATCTGGTGATGCTGACATCAACAACGGTAATAACGACAAAAGAAATGGTCTCCTGTCGTCAGTTTCAGACATTGACAATAATAACGAGCCCGATCTGATATCCGCAACGGCTGTAAGTGTAGAGCAGAGCACGTATAAAGTCAGCGGGGATTCTGGCTTAAGGGAAGACAACTTAGATACGATGTCCGGAAAAAAGAAATCAAAATCACAAATCAAAGTTGATGACGACGAAGCAGGATACAAAGATGGCGGCAACACGTGCAAAGATAAAGCAAGTATTGGAGAGAATGAACAAACACCTGGAAAGGGAGGATGGGATACGAATTTAGGGCGAGGAAAAAACAATGAAACAGAAAAATGGGGATCGGGCAGGATTCCTTTTGAGGAGGATGGGAAAGGAAGTAGAGAAATGGGAATATCTGATGCTTCAGATGATGATTTTTCTTCATTTCGAGGAAAAGGAGTAAAAGATAATATGTATTATCCAAGCCGGCAATCCGGAAAACACGAAAAGGAGAAATGGAACGACAGTGAGGACGATGAGGAGAGATATTCCCGGTACCACAGACGTTCCCATACACACGAGAGTGGATATGATGGCGACCTAGAAAGCTGTAGATCATCTGTGCTATACAGTGACGACGGCGAAAAGAACGACGGGACAGATTTCAGGAGGAACAGACCAGAGGATTACATTGATGCCTTCAAAAGAGGGCGGAGATATAAAAACACTGACTTAGAAGATGACGACGACGACGACAAAATTATGTTAATGAGAGGACGCAGAAATGAAGAAGATAATTCCGAGTCAGACAGAAAAGGATTACTATCTTCGAACTCTGGTGACATGTTTTCCTGGAAAACACAACTATCCCGGGAAGGTGATTCAGGGTCTGAAATCTTTACAACCGATTTAACAACCGACAACGACGAAGACACCTTTGGCTACTTACGTCTGTCAAAGAATGATAAATCTGACAACAGCGACACAGGAATTGGAAACAAAAACAGGGAATACAAAGAGGGATATAATAATCTTGACGACATGAACGAAAATGGTTATCTTGGAAAATCCCTTGACAACGGAAACAACAAACGGGAGAAGGATTTCAGAGACAAAAGCAATAATGAAAGGATAAAATACGGCGATCTGGATGACGAAAAAAAATCTGAATATCCATGCAAGTCACATGACAGGAGAGAAAACATCGGAGATACAGATATCGATGACAAATACAAGAAAGACAGGAAGAAATACGGCGATCTGGATGACGACAAAGATTATGGATATCCACGCAAATCACGTGACAGCGGAAAAGACATCGGAGATACAGATATCGATGACAAATACAAGAAAGACAGGAAGAAATACGGCGATCTGGATGGCGACAAAGATTATGTATATCCATGCAGGTCACGCGACAGCGGAAAAGATATCGGAGATACAGATATCGATGACAAATACAAGAAAGACAGGAAGAAATACGGCGATCTGGATGACGACAATGAGTCTGGATATCCACGCCAATCACGTGACAGCGAAAAAGACATCGGAGATACAGATAACGATCACAAATACAAGAAAGACAAGAAGAGATACGGCGATCTGGATGACGAAAAAGATAATGGATATCCACGCAAGACACGTGACAACGGAAAAGACATCGGAGATACAGATATCGATGACAAATACAAGAAAGACAGGAAGAAATACGGCGATCTGGATGACAACAATGATTTTGGATGTCCACGCAAGTCACGTGACAGCGGAAAAGACATCGCAGATACAGATATCGATGACAAATACAAGAAAGACAGGAAGAAATACGGCGATCTGGATGACAACAACGATTTTGGATATCCACGCAAGACACGTGACAACGGAAAAGACATCGGAGATACAGATATCGATGACAAATACAAGAAAGACAGGAAGAAATACGGCGATCTGGATGACGACAATGAGTCTGGATATCCTCGCAAGACACGTGACAGCGGAAAAGACATCGGAGATACAAATGTCGATGACAAATACAAGAAAGACAGGAAGAAATACGGCGATTTGGATGACGACAAAGATTATGGATATCCACGCAAATCACGTGACAGCGGAAAAGACATCGGAGATACAAATGTCGATGACAAATACAAGACAGACAGGAAGAAATACGGCGATCTGGATGACAACAACGATTTTGGATATCCACGCAAGACACGTGACAACGGAAAAGACATCGGAGATACAGATATCGATGACAAATACAAGAAAGACAGGAAGCAATACGGAGATCTGGATGACAATAATGATTCTGGATATCCACGCAATAGACCTGACAACGAAAAAGACATCGGAGATACAGATGTCGATGACAAATACAAGAAAGACAGGAAGAAATACGGTGATCTGGATGACAATAATGATTCTGGATATCCACGTAAGTCACGTGACAGCGAAAAAGACATCGGAGATACAGATGTCGATGACAAATACAAGAAAGCCAGGAAGAAATACGGCGATCTGGATGACAATAATGATTCTGGATATCCACGCAATAGACCTGACAACGAAAAAGACATCGGAGATACAGATGTCGATGACAAATACAAGAAAGCCAGGAAGAAATACGGCGATCTGGATGACGACTATGAGTCTGGATATCCTCGCAAGACGCGCGACAGCGGAAAAGATATCGGAAAGGCAGATATCGATGACAAATACAAGAAAGACAGGAAGAAATACGGCGATCTGGATGACAACAAAGATATTGGATATCCACGTAAGTCACGTGACAGCGCAAAAGACATCGCAGATACAGATATCGATGACAAATACAAGAAAGACAGGAAGAAATACGGCGATCTGGATGACAACAATGATTTTAGATATCCACGCCAATCACCTGACACCGGAAAAGACATCGGAGATACAGATATCGATGACGAATACAAGAAAGACAGGAAGAAATACGGCGATCTGGAAGACGACAAAGATTATGGATATCCACGCAAATCACGTGACAGCGGAAAAAACATCGGAGAAACAGATATCGATGACAAATACAAGAAAGACAGGAAGAAATACGGCGATCTGGATGACAACAAAGACTCGGTATATCCACGCAAGACACGTGACAACGGTCAAGACATCGGAGAGGCAGATATCGATGAGAAATACAAGAAAGACAGGAAGAAATACGGCGATCTAGATGACGACTATGAGTCTGGATATCCTCGCAAGACACGTGACAGCGGAAAAGACATCGGAGATACAGACGTCGATGACAAATACAAGAAAGACAGGAAGAAATACGGCGATCTGGAAGACGACAAAGATTATGGATATCCACGCAAGTCACGTGCCAGCGGAAAAGACATCGGAGAAGGTCACGCGACAGCGGAAAAGATATCGGAGATAACAATGAGTCTGGATATCCACGCAAGTCACGTTACAGCGAAAAAGACATCGGAGATACAGACATCGATGACAAATACAAGAAAGACAGGAAGAAATACGGCGATTTGGATGACGACAAAGATTATCTGGATGACAATAATGATTCTGGATATCCACGCAAGTCACGTGACAGCGAAAAAGACATCGGAGATACAGATATCGATGACAAATACAGGAAAGACAGGAAGAAATACGGCGATCTGGATGACAATAATGATTCTGGAGATCCACGCAATAGACGTGACAACGAAAAAGACATCGGAGATACAGATATCGATGACAAAAACAAGAAACCCAGGAAGAAATACGGCGATCTGGATGACAACAAAGATATTGGATATCCACGTAAGTCACGTGACAGCGCAAAAGACATCGCAGATACAGATATCGATGACAAATACAAGAAAGACAGGAAGAAATACGGCGATCTAGATGACAACAACGATTTTGGATATCCACGCAAGACACGTGACAACGGAAAAGATATCGGAGATACAGATATCGATGACAAATACAAGAAAGACAGGAAGAAATACGGCGATCTGGATGACGACAAAGATTATGGATATCCACGCAAGTCACGTGACAGCGGAAAAGACATCGGAGATACAGATATCGATGACAAAAACAAGAAACCCAGGAAGAAATACGGCGATCTGGATGACAACAAAGACTCGGTATATCCACGCAAGACACGTGACAACGGTCAAGACATCGGAGAGGCAGATATCGATGACAAATACAAGAAAGACAGGAAGAAATACGGCGGTCTAGATGACGACTTTGAGTCTAGATATCCTCGTAAGACACGTGACAGCGAAAAAGACATCGGAGATACGGATGTCGATGACAAATACAAGAAAGACAGGAAGAAATACGGCGATCTGGCTGACAATAATGATTCTGGATATCCACGCAAGTCACGTGAAAGCGAAAAAGACATCGGAGATACAGATATCGATGACAACAACAAGAAAGACAGGAAGAAATACGGCGATCTGGATGACGACAAAGATTATGGATATCCACGCAAGTCACGTGACAGCGGAAAAGACATCGGAGAGGCAGATATCGATGACAAATACAAGAAAGACAGGAAGAAATACGGCGATCTGGATGACGACTATGAGTTTAGATATCCTCGCAAGACACGCGACAGCGGAAAAGATATCGGAGATACAGATATCGATGACAAATACAAGAAAGACAGGAAGAAATACGGCGATCTGGCTGACAATAATGATTCTGGATATCCACGCAAGTCACGTGACAGCGAAAAAGACATCGGCGATACAGATATCGATGACAAATACAAGAAAGACAGGAAGAAATACGGCGATCTAGATGACGACTTTGAGTCTAGATATCCTCGTAAGACACGTGACAGCGGAAAAGACATCGGAGATACGGATGTCGATGACAAATACAAGAAAGACAGTAAGAAATACGGCGATCTGGATGACAATAATGATTCTGGATATCCACGCAATAGACCTGACAACGAAAAAGACATCGGAGATACAGATGTCGATGACAAATACAAGAAAGACAGGCAGAAATACGGCGATCTGGATGACAATAATGATTCTGTATATACACGCAAGTCACGTGACAGCGAAAAAGACATCGGCGATACAGATATCGATGACAAATACAAGAAAGACAGGAAGAAATACGGCGATCTGGATGACAATAATGATTCTGAATATCCACGCAAGTCACGTGACAACGGTCAAGACATCGGAGATACAGATATCGATGACAAATACAAGAAAGACACGCAGAAATACGGCGATCTGGATGACAATAATGATTAGAAATACGGCGATCTGGCTGACAATAATGATTCTGGATATCCACGCAATAGACGTGACAACGAAAACGACATCGGAGATACAGATGTCGATGACAAATACAAGAAAGACAGGCAGAAATACGGCGATCTGGATGACAATAATGATTAGAAATACGGCGATCTGGCTGACAATAATGATTCTGGATATCCACGCAATAGACGTGAACGACTATGAGTCTGGATATCCTCGCAAGACACGCGACAGCGGAAAAGATATCGGAGATACAGATGTCGAGGACAAATACAAGAAAGACAGGAAGAAATACGACGATCTGGCTGACAATAATGATTCTGGATATCCACGCAATAGACGTGAACGACTATGAGTCTGGATATCCTCGCAAGACACGCGACAGCGGAAAAGATATCGGAGATACAGATGTCGAGGACAAATACAAGAAAGACAGGAAGAAATACGGAGATCTGGATGACGACTATGAGTCTGGATATCCTCGGAAGATCGGCGATACAGATATCGATGACAAATACAAGAAAGACAGGAAGGAATACGGCGATCTGGATGACGACATTGAGTCTGGTTATCCACGCCAATCACGTGACAGCAGAAAAGACATCGGATATACAGATATCGATGAAGTCTGGATATCCTCGCAAGACACGCGACAGCGGAAAAGATATCGGAGATACAGATATCGATGACAAATACAAGAAAGACACGCAGAAATACGGCGATCTGGATGACAATAATGATTCTGTATATACAGGCAAGTCACGTGACAGCGAAAAAGACATCGGCGATACAGATATCGATGACAAATACAAGAAAGACAGGAAGGAATACGGCGATCTGGATGACGACATTGAGTCTGGTTATCCACGCCAATCACGTGACAGCAGAAAAGACATCGGATATACAGATATCGATGAAGTCTGGATATCCTCGCAAGACACGCGACAGCGGAAAAGATATCGGAGATACAGATATCGATGACAAATACATCGATGACAACAACAAGAAAGACAGGAAGAAATACGGCGATCTGGCTGACAATAACGATTCTGGATATCCACGCAAGTCACGTGACAGCGAAAAAGACATCGGATGACAATAATGATTCTGAATATCCACGCAAGTGACGTGACAACGGACAAGACATCGGAGATACAGATATCGATGACAAATACAAGAAAGACAGGAAGGAATACGGATATCCACGCAATAGACGTGACAACGAAAAAGAAATCGGAGATACAGATGTCGATGACAAATACAAGAAACACAGGAAGAAATACGGCGATCTGGCTGACAATAATGATTCTGGATATCCACGCAAGACACGTGACAACGGTCAAGACATCGGAGAGGCAGATATCGATGACAAATACACGAAAGACAGGAAGAAATACGGCGATCTGGATGACGACTACGAGTCTGGATATCCTCGCAAGACACGCGACAGCGGAAAAGATATCGGAGATACAGATGTCGAGGACAAATACAAGAAAGACAGGAAGAAATACGACGATCTGGCTGACAATAATGATTCTGGATATCCACGCAATAGACGTGAACGACTATGAGTCTGGATATCCTCGCAAGACACGCGACAGCGGAAAAGATATCGGAGATACAGATGTCGAGGACAAATACAAGAAAGACAGGAAGAAATACGACGATCTGGCTGACAATAATGATTCTGGATATCCACGCAATAGACGTGAACGACTATGAGTCTGGATATCCTCGCAAGACACGCGACAGCGGAAAAGATATCGGAGATACAGATATCGATGACAAATACATCGATGACAACAACAAGAAAGACAGGAAGAAATACGGCGATCTGGCTGACAATAATGATTCTGGATATCCACGCAATAGACGTGACAACGAAAACGACATCGGAGATACAGATGTCGATGACAAATACAAGAAAGACAGGAAGAGATACGGCGATCTGGCTGACAATAATGATTCTGGATATCCACGCAATAGACGTGAACGACTATGAGTCTGGATATCCTCGCAAGACACGCGACAGCGGAAAAGATATCGGAGATACAGATGTCGAGGACAAATACAAGAAAGACAGGAAGAAATACGGAGATCTGGATGACGACTATGAGTCTGGATATCCTCGGAAGATCGGCGATACAGATATCGATGACAAATACAAGAAAGACAGGAAGAAATACGGCGATCTGGATGACAATAATGATTCTGTATATACACGCAAGTCACGTGACAGCGAAAAAGACATCGGAGATACAGATATCGATGACAAATACAAGAAAGACAGGAAGGAATACGGCGATCTGGATGACGACATTGAGTCTGGTTATCCACGCCAATCACGTGACAGCAGAAAAGACATCGGATATACAGATATCGATGACAAATACAAGAAAGACAGAAAGAAATACAGTGATTTGGATGACGACAAAGATTATGGATATCAACAAAAATCGCAGAGTGGAGGAAAGGATAATGGAGATTCAGATATTGACCCCAGGAATAACAAGGACAGAGAAAATTTGAGTCATCAGGAAAAAGGAAAGGAAGTTGCTTATAATCACAAATCAAAAAATGACGAACAGATCATGGGGAATAAAGATATCAGCGACAAATATGGAAAAGACGGAAAGATGCATGATGTTGATTCAAACGACAACGCATCCTCATACAGTAGAAGATTTGGAAAACCGGAATATGGCGAGGACGACGGTGACCATTACGGTAAAGGTACGGAAGACGTGGTAAACACAGATGACTCAGACATCTGGGGAAAGGAAATTGACGATAGAAATAGAAGAAACAGGCGTGGAGACAAGGTACCACCGGACGTGACACTTGGAGATGATGAAGGTAAAATATCGACAGACCAACAAGGCGACAAGAACACTGCAAATAGTGAACGTAGAACGCCCTCTCCTCGCAGACCAGAATCATTGCCGATTGAGAAAATAATGCCTGACGTAACAGATGACATGCGCAATGATACAAAACCAGGTAAACCATTAAATGAAAATGATCGACAAACTTCAAAGAAAGCAAAAAGTCATTCAAAAAAGGATGATATTGAACAAGAACTTATTCAGAAAGCAAAAGAGGTAACTGCAGAGATAAAGACACTGAACGATGCTTGGATGTCGGACCGAGAAGATAATAGCTCTAGTGGAGATACCTCACCATTAGGACATCTCGCAGACACAAAACCGGAACTGCCGAATACATTCTTCATGGGCGTGGTCCAGTCTGATTTTCATACTGCCGAAAGGGATGAGTCAAGGTCGGATGAAATTCGCGGGAAAAATGGTCATGTTGGTGAAGTTGGATCCGACAATGACGTTTTGAATACACTAATGGACAAAGCTAGCGATCGACTTGCTCAAGCTCGTTCAAGCAATCAACCGGAAACGTTTACAGAAGAGCTAGTTGGTCATTTGAAACCTGACGAGGTCCGCCGGATGAATGGCGACCAACTTCAAAAAGACGCTGGTGCACTGTCTACGCATGCTCGTAATCCTTTGGAATCTGTAAAAGAGAAAGACAGAATTGATTCTTTGGTTGGCTACACTTATGATGAATATTGCGATGATTCTATCAGTGATTTAGACCAAAGTAAAACTGCAATAGATGGAATCGTCGGAAAGGACAATAATCGAGTTGGTAAGAGCAAATACGGAACTCCATCATTTGTCAATGAAATAGCGACAAACAAAGACCAAGAAGAAAGTTCAGTTAAGATTCCGGGACTCAAATGCGACCAAGCTTCCACCGAGGAAATTCCTCACAAAAAGCGAGGGCTTTCTGTACATTTCAAAGATGAAATATGCGATGCTCCAGATTCTATACAGTTAACAGATGCGACACCAAATGGCGGGAAAGAACTGACACGTGATTGTCATCGAAAAACTTCTTCTGAAGAAGGCGAGGTCTGGTGTGAAAAAGCGGATGCCTCAATATACAGAAGTCTTTCTGAAACGTCTAAACGTCCTGATGACACCGACGTGTTCTCCTTTTCGACTTCTGCTGATATCAAAGAAGGAAAAGATGTCCAACCACCAAAGATCCTGAAGGCATCATCCGATGTTACCATCTATGAAGGACAAAACTTGGAGATCAGTTGGGAAGTTCAAGGTTGGTGCTACTTCACTATTCACTATTTTCCTGTGTAAAATCATTAATGGAAGGAAGCATTTAGTGGCTTATGCTTTTTAAAGATATGTATCTATTAAGCCTACATGTAATGTGACATATGTATGTTGTGTAAGAGTTAACTCCCTTTTGGATAAATGGTATTTAACATATTTTTCATTGACTTGTCATAGAGTTATCTCCCTTAGGATATATATAACTTTACTCATTGTACCTATGAATTGTGTTAGAGTTATCTACCGTAAGATATGGTTTACTAATTGACATAATTTGCGTGTGATTTGTGTTACGAGTGATCTCCCTTGGAACATCTATTATTAATCTGACAATTATCTTAAGAACATGTTTCATAGGTGGCATTAATATGTAAAGTTAAGCATTTCTTTGACACCGGAAATACAACCGTAATATTTAAGAGCTTTCATATACACAATATTTGCCTCGTAACAAGGAGCTTAATTCTTGAGTAAAAGAAAATACCGTCTGACAAATCATTAATACCTTATATCCACAAAAATACTTTTTCAAGAAAACTAAAATTGGTACTAGATGTTTATTTTACTTAAGTAAAACACGTCGGCTATGTAATTGTACATGTTATCAATAGTATACCGTGCATTCGCTTGATTCCAATTTCATCTTAAAATCAGCATCTTTGAAGCTACTGTAATAGATGTTGTACACACTGTTTCGGTAGTCATTTGATAAATGAAATTTTCCGGACACATATTCATACTTAGGAACAAGTCATTTGGATACCAATCCACGAAAAAAAGAAACATTTTCGAGATTCCACTGTATGACTGCACTTTCTCAGTCCAGATAAGCGAGGTTCAAGTGTAAGACCTCAGTATCGTAGTCCGGATAATCGAGGTTACAGTGTTTGACTAGAGTATAGTTGTTCGGTTTAACGAGTATCTGGTGTATGAATGGGGGACCTTAGTCCGGATTAACGTTGCTACAGTGTTTGGCCAGAGATAATACTCCGGATTAACAAGACTCAAGTGTTTAACTGGAGTATCCGGATTGACGAAGTTCTCCTGTATTGTGAAGTATCACAGACAATATTAACGAAGTTTCAGTGTTTGAACGAAGCATTACTTTCCGGATTAACGAGATTATAGTATATGACTGGTATAGCATAGTCCATATAAGCTGGGCTACAGTGTTTTACTGGATTATTGAAGTTCGAATTCTTTTACGAGGTTCAACTCTGTCTAGTTACCACGTAATTATATTATTTTTAGTCAATGAGAGAATATTTTCAAACCTGAACTGCTTTGATTTGTCAATGAACTGCTTCAGAGCCAACAATGTATTACAAACATCTTAATATCAAGTCTGAGCCTAACAAAGAGGCGCTTGGGAATTGGAAAGTATTCTCTGTAACGAAAAGAAAGGAAAACTGGTTCTTTTAGGGAACATCAAAGTAGTGTGTGTATGCCTGGTACAGATGTTTTGCCAAGTTTCGGGGTCGAGCTGGGTTCAGGATAAATATTTGTATATCTGCCATTTCAATCTCAAATTAGCCATGTGTTTCGGGTTATTGTTATGTTGGGCCTTTTAATCTTGTCAGATTATAATCTATAGCATGTTAAACGGTCGTGTTTACTAGGGGATCCGAAATGATAGTGTATTATAATGGGATTTTTACTTTTTACAGAACAGCAGTCAGTTCACAAATTTCTAGTTTAACCAGAGTTGTCGTTCCTGACATCCTGTTTGGACTCGATCAACGGCTTAAACCCAGTAATCGTGACAAAATCTAAAACATGATATTTTTCATTTTTTTTCTTTATTCTCAAAAATGACATTATAATAGTTATAAGATATCTTCATTAAATGATAAGTTTTATAATAAGTCTTAAACATCTCTGAATTTAGGTAACTTTTTATCTTAATTACTGTGCAATTTTAACAACACTGTAATGAAAAATTACATTTGTCTATATTTCATCGCTGAAATTCATTTTACGGACGAAATGGGCTATTAATGGTACCGAATATCGTGCAATTTCTATTGCAGACACATTTTCAGCATCACTATCCAAGCTGCTACTTAATTCGCGAAAGGAACAAGAAACTTGGGGACACACAATGCGTCTCTCCTTAGAATTGTCTGAACTGTGTTTGCGGAGTCGTGGGACGTTTTTAATTTTCGGTAATCTCCTAAAATAAAGGTGTTTTTAAAAATAAAATAAAAATCTAACGCCTTTATTTTTTGTCCAGAATGTTTTTATAAGTTTGTGTTTTTATTACTATTACTTTTGAGAAAAAAAATAACATAGCTGATATTTTACCTTGCAAAAGGCACACCTGAGCCACGTATGAAGATATACAAAGATGGCGAACCAATCGAATTGTTTGATGGAATGGGGATAGTACAAGATGGACACGAGTGGACATTGTCCATCCCTGACGTCATCAGGGACGACGCGGGGTGTTACGAACTACACATCATTAACAGACACGGCACGGATAAATCAGAGGTCAAAGTTCAAGTTCACCGTCAGACGCCAAGGACTCTACAGAAGTAAGGAAAAAACCCAGTTTTATTGTATGGTTTACACTGATCAATCTCCAAGTACATCAGCAAGTTAGGGAACAATTTCAATCGATAAAATAAAACAAAAACTTCAAAGCATTGTGGGTCCCAAGAAAATTGAGAATGATTGGCTATTGGACGGACAATGAACGTAATTATTTCTTTTCTGTTATAATATTTTTCGTTCTCTCCGCTGAGCGGTTTTCAAGATGCGATAAATTATTCAATGGAAATCATTTTGTTTACCTATTAATTGTGTTAATCTTACCAAAATTTTATAGTTAAAATTTAATTTCAACTTTACCTCGTTTTATCTCGAAAACTGACTCAATTGGAAATTATTAAAATATTATAACTGGAAAATTCAATTTTCTTTCGTTTTGCAAATTTTTAATTCAGTAGTATTTCAATTGACTGAAGGAAAATCCAATGAAAATGCACGACAAAAAGAGGGGGAACGCGTGTGACCTTTATTTTGGGACCAGACTGTACGTGTGTATCAGAACATACAAAAACCCCACATGGACTTTACGGCGCCAAATATTTTGGAAGACATTTGCATTTTCGAAATTGTCACTTTGCGAATTGAGTAAACTCAATACCAATTCAAATTCAAAGGTAAACTGAAAAATGGTTTTGCAAGAGTTAAAACGGATTTTGATTAACATCGCAATCGATAACCACTCAATTTGCGAGAATAGGAGAAAAACGCTTTACAGCGTTGCACGCCAATGATGTAAGGGAAGTAACCTCGGTACCCAACTGCACACAATTGCAATCTTGAGTGCCTATTCACTAGAAAGCGTGGCGGTCAGTTACCGTCATTCGTGACGTTATGCTTCCCATGCTGTACCTTTTAGTCCACAATCGCAGTATAGCGGTCTTGCTGGTGGTCATGATCAGTTCCCGCCGTTCGTGACGTCCCATGCCGTCCATTTTTTTAGTCAGGCCAGTTCTTGTCGCACTGTGACGTCATATTTTTTGTTTGTTTATGTTACAGGGAGCTAGCAGCACCTGCTTTTACAGCACAACCTGAGGATACGACACTGAAGGAAGGAGATGACCTCGTACTCAAATGTGCAGTCCAGGGTCAGTATAGGCATATGCTAATATTAATACAAGCCGGCCTCCTCTGCCCCGACGCAATATATAAAAAAAAATATCTCGTCGTCAGAAAGCTACGTTATCGCGCGCAGCTACATAGGCACGGACTTGGATAGGCCTTGGTCGGATAATATACCTCAGGCAACTAATTAAGTCACACTCATTTACACAGGGACCTGAGAATTTGTTACAGCTATATATTTGGACCTAAACTAAGGTGTTCGGAGTAATTTTACATGTTTTAGGGGTTTAGATAGACTTTCGGTAAAATTGACACCCCAATTAATGCTCATATATGATCATTGGGGGTGTCATTTTTACCAAAAGTCGATCAAACTAGTAGCGACAAAGTTTCTAGTTTTTCACAATGACAGATATTGGGAGAGAGAGGTTCCCCTCCCCTTTAGATACCGATTTTATATAATTATGAACACAGTGACCTGAAAAATTGTTAATAGTTATGTTTGGACCTAAATTGAGGTGTTCAGAGTAATTTTATACATTTTACGGGTTTAGATCAATTTTCAATGGGGGTGGCATTTTACCAAAATTTAACCCCAAAAATGTGTAAAATTACTTTGAATACCTCAGTTTAGGTTAAACATAGAGCTGTTACAAATTTTCAGGTTCCTGTGTAAATAAAAGAAATCATCAATTTGACCAGATTTAATGAGTAATATCAAATTCTTTTAAAAATGTACTGTAGTTTGGGAAGTTAAAGAATTTAACAAGACCAACCATTATACAATACAGGTGTATTAGAATCAATAGGAATTGAAATATTATGATGTTCAAGATGCCCTTCCCCCCCCCCCCCCCCCCCCCCCCCTTTAATATGGTACTACAGACACCTATTGTAAGGACACATACCTGCTATATAATCAAAATTGTCTTGGCAGGTTTTCCCCCGCCCCAGGTCCTGTGGCTGAGGGACGGAGAAGAGCTTAGTGATGGGGAGGAGGTAGAAATTCTGGAGGAGAATGAGAGTCAGTGTCTCATTGTGTGGGAGGCTAGGCCAGAACACGCCGGTCAATACATCTGTCGGGCGGTCAACTCACAGGGCACCACAGAGGTCAAGTTCAATGTTGACATACAAGGTCAGTTAACTTATGTCACAGAGGTCAATTTTAATGACGACATACAAGGTTGGTTAATTCATGTGACAGAGGTCAATTTTAATGTCGACATACACTTGGTCAGTTAACTTATGTCACAAAGGTAAATTTTAATGTCGACATACAAGGTCGGTTAACTTATGTCACTGAGGTCAATTTTAATGTCGACATAAACTTGGTCAGTTAACTTATGTCGGAGGTCAATTTTAATGTCGACATACACTTGGTAAGTTAATTCATGTCACAGAGGTCAATTTTAATGTCGACATACACCTGGTCAGTTAACTTATGTCACAGAGGTCAATTTTAATGTCGACATACAAGGTCAGTTAACTTATGTCAGAGGTCAATTTTAATGTCGACATACACGGTCTCTTTATTCATGTCACAGAGGTCAATTTTAATGTTGACATAAATGTACAAGGTCGCTTAATTCATGTCACAGAGGTCAATTTTAATGTCGACATACAAGGTCGGTTGATTCATGTCACAGAGGTCAATTTTGATGTTGACATACACTTGGTCAGTTAACTTATGTCACAGAGGTCAATTTTAATGTTGACACACACTTGGTCAGTTAACTTATGTCACAGAGGTCAATTTTAATGTCGACACACACTTGGTCAGTTAACTTAATATGTCGCAGTGATCAGAATCAAGGTTGACATTCATTGCCAGTAAAGTAACTTGCTTCACAGAGCAGAGATCAAATTCAAAATTTCAATTGCTGCAGCTGTTGAAACAGGGTATTCAAGCTCACCACTGTGTAGGTTCATTTGATGATTTTCCAACATTAAAGTTATGTATTACAGAAGACACATGTTAAACTTGTCCGTTACTTCAACTTGTTGATAAATCAGTTTTCTATGCTTTATTTTCAGATTGGTCTTCAGAAGAGGAGGATCTCCATGGAAATGACACAAAATCATCTAAAAGTGGAGAAGATGAGAAAATGCCAGCAAAAAAATCTGAAGAAAACGGACAACCCAAACTGGATGAGAAGAAGATCAAAGATGAGAATACAAAATCCCAAGAAGAAATCCAAAAGGAAGAACAAGGGAAGAAAGAAGCACCAAAAGTGGCAGAGAAACCAAAGGACAGAACAAAGAAACCAGTTGTTGAAGAAGAAATGATCGCAAGCAAAACAGAAAATGTGAATGAATGTCTTCCTGAAGATGAAGATGAGAAGTATTTTCCCTCAAAGAAAGAAGCTGTTCCACCAAAACCTGCCGCCAAACCTAAAGATAAGCTAAGGAAGCCAGTTGTTGAGGAAATCGTTGAAGACCGGATAGAAAAAGTGACAGAGAATATTCCAAGTAACAGTGGAGAAACGGTTTCAGTCGCAGCAGTCGAAAAGGAGGAAATGCCAGAAGTTGCTGCAACGCCTAAAGAGGTAACAAAAACTCCGGTCATTGAGGGTAGCATTCAAGACAAGGAGGAAACATTAAAACAGTGTGTTCCTATTGATGGTGTGGACCAAGCATTGATGACAACTGTTAGAGAAGAGGATCATCCCAAAGTTGGAGCAAAACCACAAGAAAAGTATTTGGCATCTGCAGTTGAAGGGGTTATTGAAGAAAACGCAAGTGAATGTAAACCTTTTGATGAAGCAAAAAATGTTTCAGCCACAACTGTTAAAAATGATAAGGTTCCAAAAGTTGCTGCAAAACCAAAGGTCAAATCAAAGACCCCGATTGTCGAAGAAATAATTCAGGACAAATCTGAAATGGTTAACGAGTGTGTGCCTTTGGATGGTACAGAAAAAGCTTCAGTAACAACTGTTAAAACAGATACGGTGCCAAAAGTTGCTGCAAAACCAAAGGTCAAATCAAAGACCCCGATTGTCGAAGAAATAATTCAGGACAAATCTGAAATGGTTAACGAGTGTGTGTCTTTGGATGGTACAGAAAAAGCTTCAGTAAGAACTGTTAAAACAGATACGGTGCCAAAAGAGGCCTCAAAACCTACAGAAACACATAACCCCCCGATTGTGGAAGAAATTATTCAGGACAAACCTGAGACGGTTAACGAGTGTGTGCCTGCGGATGATACAGAAAAAGCTTCAGTCACAACCGTTAAAACAGATACGGTGCCAAAAGTGGCCTCAAAACCTACAGAAACACATAACACCCCGATTGTGGAAGAAATTATTCAGGACAAATCTGAGACGGTTAACGAGTGTGTGCCTGCGGATGATACAGAAAAAGCTTCAGTCACAACCGTTAAAACAGATACGGTGCCAAAAGTGGCCGCAAAACCTACAGAAAAATCAAGGAAATTGGCAGCTGAAGCAGAAAAGAAAAAGACAGACACGGGAAAAATGAACAAGGAGGAAACCGATGGCTTATCCAATGATGGTATTTTGGATGGACAGTCGGTTGATGGAAAGAAAACTGGTCTTGGTGAAGAGGAACAAACGCCAAAAAGTAAGACAGATAGTTCTCTACAAAGAAATAAAGACAAGGCGGATAAAAAGAAAGACACGGACAATCTTAACCTTTGTAAAGAAGGATATGACCTTGACAGAAAAGAAAAGCAGGAAACATTGGACAAGCTCAGTAAATCCCTGGGAATTGACGACCTTGGGGAAGTGTCTTGGTCATTGGATGAATTACTTGATGACAATGCGAAAGAGTCAATAGATGGGGTCAAAGGTCATCCTAAAGATCAAAACAGTTACCACGGTGATACTGCAGAAATTTCTGATGAAGAAATCGATGGGGAACCAATGATACCGGCTATAGAGCTACACATGTCAAATTCTGATGTAAGTAATTGTTTCTCTTGTAAAAATTTGTGTTGGTGTAGAAAATGGTTTTAATCATACATATAGATATATAGAAGACAAAAATTATTAGCATTCTTGATGCTTTTTGTTAAGAAACAATTAACTCATCAATTTTCAAGTTTATAGTAAAACCTGAATATTTAATGACTGTTATATGATTTACCACCTCTATTTCTGCCAGCGTATCACAAATTCCTTTCCTGTCTTCCTGAAAATTTCCTTTGTAATTTTCCTCTGTATTTATTGACAAATTCAAATTCTTTATTTCATCTTGAGCATAAACATCTCATCGATTCAAAGGAAAATTTCATAATGTACATTCAAAATCAGCACAGGCTGTAAGATACAATCAGCATATGGAATTTATAATTCAAATACAGGTGTTTTTATGAAGTAAGAGCTTGCAAATCAAGCTAGTTAGAAGCCAACAGAGTAGAACGTAGTAAATTACACCTCTTTATCAGACCAACATTTTCCTGGAAAAATGGTGGCAGTATGACAAGGTTTGAATATATATACGTATTATATACATACCTATACCAACTATGGTTTTGTGTATATTATTAAATTAGAAGTACAATTTTCATCCAGCAACAAGCCCATGCCTGGTAATAAGCCCACCCATATCTGTTGCAGAATTTTTTATTTCTTTTTTGTATACTAAAACAACGGTTACAAGTATAATATCAAATTTGTTTTGATAGGAGATGTATGCAAAGAAGTATACAGTGATCGCTGGTTACCATGACACCACCAATGACGTCCATCTTGAATCAGGGGAGGTAATAGAACTGCTCAACAAGATGGTCCCCACACATTGGTTGGTTAGGAAACTGGACGACAAGCAACAGGTAAAAACTGATGGCAGGGGGGCACATCATTAGCTAAGCAGTTGGGAACAAGAAGTGTATGTCTTCTGATAGTTTTAGAAATATTAGGAAAAATAATAATACATGATGAATTTCAGATGTAAATGACTGAAAAACTTGTTGTTTCCCCCCTTATCAGTTGCAAAAGAAAACTCAGACAATGATTTACAGAATTGTGTAATGTTGGGTTGTTTACAAAACTGTTTAACTCATTTACCCCTGAAGACACATATGGACTCTTCCAATTCAAAGGTTGGAATAGTTCATTATGAAATTTCAGGGGTGAATGAGCAAAAACCTGTTTAAATCAAAACAGTCATTTATGACTATTTTTACCATTTAAGGAAATTTCATCTGTAACCTTTAATTGTCTAGATATAAAAAAAATGGTAAGTGTACAAGTATTTAATTAAAGGTGTATCTTTCAGGTGTGTTACGTACCTGCGGCCCTGCTACAGTCCCGGAGAGATGTGGATGCCAGCCCCACCTCAACACCAGAGGGCCTCGCTAAGGCAGCTAGCAAGTCCAAGTATGTAGTAATTCACTGTGAACATGTTAAATATAACGAAAAAATGAGAATAAAATTTCCACCAACATAAAGCTCGAAAAAATATTTTAATTTATGTTTCTTAACTTGTAGAAATAACCTGTACATGCATGTAGATTGTGTCTGTACCTTGATATTTTTTCTGAACTCAATTATGATTCTATAGAAGTTATGGAAATTGTTTAGGTTACTATAGATTTCCAAGATAACAACCTGTAGTAATTGTAATTGTATATTGTCAGATAGTAACTCTGTACAGTGTTTAGTGTATAGCGAATTGAACGCCCGAGTCAACTTGATTTATCTCCCTTGGATTGTAGCATGTTTCTGCCCAAGCCAATGGGTGTTTGGTGGGCTATATGTTTTCCTGTAATAGTTGTAGTTTTAAATCGAGGACCAACATTTAATACATTACCTTAAATTTGTATGCAGTGGATAGCTCCCTTGACATAGCTTTGCACATATGCATCAAACTTTCATATAAGAGGAGATTATAGAGAATGCTTCTTTTACTAACATTTAAGATTCAATTATGCTTATAACATAGTTTGTTGGGGTAATAGTCAGTCATGGCGGTATCAATTTGAAATTTGACTGACTCTGTGTGTATCTGCTGTATGCTTGCGTTATTTACAGTATACTTGATATGTTTCAATGTATTGTGTAAATTGCTTTCCTCTCTGCAGTGATTGTGCCATCTTAGAAAAAAGAGCATGTCACTTTGAAAATTTGGCAAAAAATTGTTTACACTATAAATTATCCCTTTGGGCTACTGGTGATAAAATCTCAAGAATCTCATCTTTGGTGATTTTCTTAATAAAAAGGATAATTCCAATGTTTAGTTTCAAATATCTCTAAGCCCTATAAAACAGAATTTAATACTGCACTTTCTGCTTTTGTTGGTGCCTGTTTTGAAGTACATGTACTGTGCAAAAAAAATTACTTAGTTAAGGAAGCTCAAATTTAAATATTCAAGACTTAACAACTTCCCAAAACAATACAAACATCGGTTAGTGCTTTACATGTACATTTTTAGTGACAGTTATATGTATGGCCAAAATACAAACAAACGAAAATATAACTATTAGAATTTAGAAGTTTTATGTATGGCCAAAATACAAACAAACGAAAATATAACTATTAGAATTTAGAAGATTCCGTTTTAAAGAATAACAGGTAGTTCTATGTAATATTTCATCTTTTAAGGCAAGCTGTTCAGGACCTGGTTGACACGGAGGAAGACTATGTTTGTGACCTCCGTGACCTTATTGACAACTACCATGATCCTTTACAAGATGGCGGTGAAGGAAAGTTTCCAGACAAACTACTTGAGAAAAAGGAAGAGATCTTTGGAAATCTCATGGAACTTTACAACTTCCACAATAAGTAAGCTTAAAGAAACAACACAACTAGATTTTAATCCAAATTCACAGCTTCAGATATAAATCCAAATTTTTTGAAAACATAATTGTTACATGTTGATCTTAAGATAATGATTTAAAGGTTATCTTAATGATAAAAAAATAAATTTGGTCGCTTCAAATTTACAATTGAACTTTTAGGAGAGAAAAAAAGAAATATGTAATTTTTGAGATAAACTTTACTTCAGGTAGTCAATTTAGATCTTGGAGAGAAAAAAACAAAAAAACTTTGATCATGTCAAATAAATAAAATGTTCAATCTGTAACAGATTTTGTTTTTGACTCCTCAGTGACCTGCTGCCAGAGCTAATGGCTTGTGCAGACAATCCAGAGCAAGTGGCAGAAATCTTTCTTGAGCGGGTAAGTGCATGCATGTACATATCAATATCACCTTGTAGCTTTAAAGATCCCTATGAAGCTTGAAGCCTAGACAATTTTATGATTTTGATATGAACATTTTAGAAATTTTATTTCAAGGCTTGGCCTGCAGTGTTTAAATTGGAAGATAACCCCAAGTTACATTTTGTTCATCGTTGGTGACAGAACATCTTCTACATTCTGAAAATGAAGCTAATAAATTTGACATGTTTTTAAATAGTGGTTCTATCTCCAGCATCATGCAGAGTGTTTCCCCCTATAGCTATAGCTTCCCCCATTTCAGAAAGAAAATATAGAGAAACCCAACATTAGTTTTATACTGTCTGGGTATTCACAAAAAAACTTCAACTAGAAATGCTTGTTAATAATGCTTAAAATATTGATATGAGTTAGATGCCAACTGGGCTTAAATCCTTTACATCGATCAGCTTTACATAAAAAATAACTGAAAGTAGTTAAATATGATGCAAAAATTAATTCTTGCAGTTGACAAAACTTGGCAACCAAAACTTGGCGACCAACCCTTCACATTTTGTTCCGACTATAAGGTCCTGAGTATACATGCAGTAGAAAAATGGAAGAATTTTACTTTAAATGCGTTGTTGTGAAAATGTTGGTTCAAGAAAATGTTGTTTAATGTTTCACAGAGGGAGAGTCTGAAGCAGTATCTTCCTTTCTGGGCCGGGCGGGAGAAGGCAGACGAAGACATCAACTCGGAGGAAATTCAAGCATTCCTACAGGTCAGCATCATACTCTGAAAATTCAGACAAGACCTGTTACCTTAACAGGGATTTTTTGTCTTGTTTTCCAGATTATTATTGTGGTGTTGAAATTTTCTGGTAAATATTTATTCCATCACATTTAAATCAGGAAGTTATTGTACCTTGTACAATATTACTGTTTATACATAAAATCTTGATCATATAAATTGAGTTTTTTATTAAGAAAGTTTTCTCTACAAAGCAAGATTTTTTGTTTGATCTAGCAGAAATAGTTTTTTTGTGAACATTTCAAAAATGTTAAATGTGTAATTATTAACTCATACTTGCCAACTCTCCCTGTTTTGGAGGGATACTCCCGAATTTGGACCCTAAAATTAAGCATTTTCAACAAGTGTATTTGCTAATTATTGCTATTTTCTAAGTTATAATAATTCCATCTGAAAGAACAGCTCCAAAGATGCCATTTAAAGTGTTATTTTTCCCTAGGGTGAACATACACAAATTTTATTTATGCTTTTAATTCTGAGTGCGCGTAAGCTTTCCCATGGAAATTATAATTGTTGGCAAGTATGAAAGTGTCTGTTTGTTATCTCATCTGTTTCAGAAATGTTTCATTGAATATTTTTTTTACACAAGTGCACTTGGTTTCAGTCTTACAGTAAACAGATTGGAGACCCTGACAACGCATTCCAGGATCTTCTGAACAGACCGGTTGAACGAATACATGAGTACATTAATCTACTTAAGGTATGGAGTTCAGTATCACATAGTCGTTGATTTCATTTTAATTCGGGTTTAAAGCAAAAAATAAGATCACTTTTCATATCATGTCATAGCAAAAGTTAAGACCTGATAAATGTAATTAAGATAAAGGGTACTAACAAGTTAAACTATTATATTAACATTGTCATTAACCCTTTCACCACTGTGGACCATAATGGACTCATCCAGATCAATGCATGGTAGAGTTTATTAAATTTACATAGGGGTGAAATGGTTAAGGTGAATTTTTGTTTAAGTCCTTTTCAAAAGAAGAATTCCATAAAAGTGACATATTGCAATGCATTTTACAGAAATTATAGTTGTTTGCAAATATGTATTAATGTCTGAAAATAGAAATAAAAAGCGAAAATAGAAAAACTTCAGTGATCGATCTCAAGACCTTTAAATTGGAAAGCCTAGCTACACTTTACCAATATTACCATCCAAGAATTTATAAATGCATAGCATTAAAATAAGAGTCTAATTTATGGTGGCAATTAAAGCTTTTGAAAAAAACATGAATATTTTAAAGATCCATAACTGGACAGAGAAACTTGCTCTCAGTCAAAAAAAATCTTGTTGCTTCATCTTCTGTATAGAAGGGAGACTACTCTAGTAAAATACACCCTGAGTGGAACTCTTCTTTGTTTATAACTGACACAGTGGGACCCTTTACCTTAAACTGATATTATGTTTTGTTACACCACACTGTGAGAGTGCAACACTGTAGGAGTGTATGTGATGGGCATTTTAAACTTTTGGTTATAATGTTAACAGATTGTTTTACTAATTTGTGTGTAAAATCGGTCAGTGCCGCTAATATATATTGTGTATAGAATTTAATGACAATCATTGTTCTAGCTGTGTGTAAGAAACATGTTGTTCAGTGTTTTGTGTATAAAGTTGATTTTGTGTGTAGAATTACATGATGTCACTGTTTTGTGTGTAAGAAACATGTTGTTCAGTGTTTTGTGTATAAGCTGATTTTGTGTGTAGAATTACATGATGTCACTGTTTTGTGTGTAAGAAACATGCTGTTCAGTGTTTTATGTGTACAGCTGATGTCACTGTTTTGTGTGTAGAATTACATGATGTCATTATTTTGTGTGTAAGAAATATGTATAATGATGATAGGTGTTTTGTGCAAGCTGATATCACTGTTTTGTGTGTAGAATCATATTACATCATTGTTCTGTGTGTATGATACATGTATGATAATATCCATTATGCAAATTTAAACTGATGTCACTGTTTTGTGTATAGAATCTGATGATGTCCTTTTTGTGTGTCAGATAATAATTAAGATGATCACAAGTGTAAAAATGATGTTCTGTTTTTTGTAGAATCTGATGAAATACACATCCCAGGCAGGTGGGGACTGTTCCCAGCTTATGTCTGTGGTACAGATGCTGGATGAACTTTGTCAGGAAGTGGACAATATCATGTTGCTGGACACTGTCCAAGGATACGATGGGAATATCCATGACCTTGGGCCAGTTATCAGACATGTACGTTTGACCTTCAGTTTGCTTCAGTCATTTAAAGTTGAATTTGGACTTGTTAGGTACTTTTGAGAACTTTGGGTTTTTTTTTAACTGATATAATTTTAAGATCTGCTGATTGAGTTAAGAATCTATTTCTCAAATATGTCTTTACATGTTTTTCTTTACTGTGTAAATTTCAAGGTTAATGTAATGATCACCTTGATGGATCTACAATAAAATCAATATTTATTGAAATCCTTATTTTAGTTCCAATATCTGTTATGCTTTTTCTCCTCATTTCATTCAAAATAAAGCATAAACTATTTTTGGTTTGCCAAATTCTTATACTTTTGTTTTCAGTCGGTTTTGATATTCAGTGAAAACCTTGAATGAAGAAAACTGATAATTTGTCAAAAATTAATTACTATAAAAACCAATTAATTATGGGTCAGGGTGAATAATTTAACACTCTTTTCCACTGCTTATCATTAGAAAATAAGATGAAATTAGAGAAATTTAATTATGATATTACCTTTATTATACAGTAACTGTAATTTTACTCTGGAACAGGAATCGGCAATGATGTGGGATGGTGACCCTGACAGCTCTGAACCAGTGGAGCGTGAAGTGTTCCTGTTCAAGGATGCTGTCTTGCTGGCAAGTGCAGTGGAGCGTGACGAGGACGGAGAACCCAAAAAACTACAATTTGACCGCATCGTCAAGGTAACCAATCTTGGTTTTCTTTTCCTTCTCCACAGATTGAAAAAGAATTAATTAGGGCCCGACAGCCCTTATGTCAGATATTCAGAACCGCTAGTAACCATGGTGTTGGACTGTCTATATGTCCGTCCACTCTTTTGTTTTCAGAGATTATCTCAGAACTTAGAAATTCAAATTTCTTAAATTTTACATGGGGATATACTGTTATATCTTAGTGTGTAAAAGAGCTTTAAATTTGGTCAATTTTGGCTTGGAGGTAGTGGTGATTGGGGATGTGGGGGGTTGGGGGGGTTGAGCAGTGGCCAAGTGGTTAAGGTTTCTGACATTCTGCTACCACTAGCCCTTCACTACTGGGTTGTGGGTTCGAGGATTATGTTGGGCAGTCGCCAGGTACTTTTTCAGGGGTGGGTNATGTACAGGCTTCTCTTAATGCCATAATTAGGATTTTACCAAACTTAGCAGTGATCCTTACGATAAAGATAGTGAGGGCGCAGGGGCCCAAAAACAGTCGAGGGGTGCAAAAATGAATCCAACCAACTACTTCTCTGAATGTAATGATCATAATTTCACCAAACAATGATCCCTACCAGATGGTGATCAAATTATATGCCTGCTTGTACAATCAACATCTTTTGAATGTTATGATCAGAATTTCAGTAAACTTGAGGACAATGATCCTTATCAGACGGGGATGAGAATCTACACTCTGCTAGTGGTGGTTGACAGCCCCCTACCCCTCCAAGAGGCTATGAGGTCGGGGCATTAGGGGTCACAGGGTGCAGAGTCCTCATGTATGAAACATCTTCTCTGAAACTAAGTGATGGATTTTGAATTCCATTCCATATAATAAGACTTTGATGGTATGAATCAGAGTTCATAGAAGGGACTTCTAAACCGTCAGCTGTTATAAAAATTGATGTTTTGGTTTTAGCACATCCACAGATTTATAACTTGTAAAACAAATTGATGTGGTCAAAAACCATTGTTAGACTTTTTCAAACTTGCTCACTTAATTTAAATAAGACGATCGCTAGGAAGCCCTTCATCCAACAGAGTATTATATTTAAAACAAATTGTTTGGTAGATTTTGCCAATTATAGTTTAATTTGTGAAATGTGGTTGTGTATTTCAGATAATTTTTGAGGTATAACAAAAGTGATCACTGAATACATTCTTAATTATAAAGTAAAAATAGTTGGGAAAAATTAAAAGTGGTCGCAAGCGACAATTGAACAAAACGATTGAAGTGTGATATAGGTGGTTGCTAAATACAGTTAGATTTCTTAATCAAAAGAGGTTAGGAAGCATAAAAAGTTGTTGCATATGTCAGATGGTCGCTTAATTCTAATACATATGGTATACAAGCAGATTTGACCCAACATGTATACTGAACAAGATTTTGAGTAATGTCCTTCCCTTTGTCTAGTAGACTGGACAAATTATTTTGCAACTGAATAGCTTAACTTTCTTGGCAAGGAAAAAAAGAATTGGCCATGAAGATGAAAAAAATATTTAATCAAAAATTAATAAGTTAGTGTAAATATTTAGTATAAATTTGGCAATGATACAACATTTATAAAGCATCATAACACTTTAAATTTAGGTCATGACAAACAAATGATTCATATATGTAATTGTGGTTTGGTTTGGTTTGATTTACAATGTAGTATTGTTTAACGTCCTATCAACATGACAGCTATGGTAATTTAAGGAAGGCCTCCCCCCCCTGTGCACATGATGCAAGCGTTTAGTTTATGCGTGTGTGTCTTGGGAGGCTGCGATATGTTCGTGTTTGTCTCCTTGTGATAGCACAGAACTGATGCCGACTTTATAGTGCTACCTCACTGAAATATATACTGCCGAAGACACCCAGCAGGACACCCCACCCGGTCACATTATACTGACAATGGGCAAACCAGGTGTCCCTCTCCTAAATTGCTGAGCGTTAAGCAGGAGTAGAAACTACCATTTTGATACGCCCGTCAAATTAGACGGGAGTATTATGGTATGGCGTCGTCCGTCCGGTGTAAACTTTTGTTTGTCCGCAATCTTCTCCTACATTTTTCAACAGATCTCTTTAAAACTTGGTATACATTATAATCATGATATGAAGTTGTGTTTCCCTTAAAAGAATTTTGGTTCAACAATTTTTCCAAAAGTTATTGCCCTTTGTTCATTTCAGTATTTGATTTTTTGTCCAAAGATCTTCTCCTACTTTTTTTTTATTGGATTTCTTTGAAACTTAGTAGGCTCAATAATCATGATATGTTGTTGTGTTACCTTGAACAGAATTTTGATTTGACAACTTTTTGCAAAAGTTATTGCCCTTTGTTTATTTCAGTATTTGATTTTTGTCCTGCAATCCCCTCCTACATTTTTAACGGATCTCTTTGAAACTTGGTAAACATTATAATCATGATATGAAATTGTGTCTCTCTTAGAAGAATTTTGATTCAATGATCTTTGCAAAAGTTATTGCCCTTTGTTCATTTCAGTATTTGATTTTTTGTCCAGAGATTTTCTCCTACATTTTTATAGCATGTCAGCTAACCACTCTTTGAATGATACAGATCTTATTTCAATGTAAGAAAGTATATAACACTATATGGCATTCAACGGGTGTATATTGTTTCGCCCCGCGGTACTCTTGGTACAGACTCTGGTATGTTTCGGCCAGGGGACAGAACCCAAAGCCTTTCCCACAGGGGCGAACGCTCAACTAAAGGCCAAAAGTGAGGCATTGTCAAGGAAGACATTAGGAAGAAGAAAGTTGTTTAGAAATTTAAGAAGAGAAAAGATAAGATCCTAAATTAAGTCGCCCCTTAGGATCATGCAATGTGTAGGATAATATATATATTTAACACAAATCAAAGAAATATATATGCAAAAGGGAGATTACTCTAAAATGAAACACAGGTCAAATGTGTAAGGTAGCATAATAATAATGATAATAATATACAACATTTATATAGCGCCCTATATATAATTTGTAAAATTACTCTAAAGCGCTTTACCCCATATGGATAATAGTAATGGTTATAATTGTGAAAACAAAAAACAAAGGCTTACAATCACTTTTATACATTTAAGCAAGCAATGTGCACATAGTTGAAAACATACTCTGGTATGTTTTGGCCAGGGGACAGAAAAAAGCATAAAACATTAAATCTAACATTAATCACAATAAAAACATTCAGACTATGTTCTTAAAATTCTCATATGACTCTCACAATGTTTTTTTTTTTATGTTTGAGCATTAATACAATGAAAGCTTCTATACTCTTTTCACCACAATCTTATATGAAGTAAACTATAACATCCACTGTTTATTCCTGAGTGAACTTTGTATGGTACAGTGTCTTCGTGCAGACATTCGGTGACTTTCACAACAACAGCCAAATTTCTTCAAAAACAGTACAGAAGTGTGGGTAGGGATGTGTATACTGGCACGGAATGTAGTTCTGTGTTCACAATTAACAGCGTTGTTCTTTATCAACACAAGTCATTAAACGATACGAAGCATAAATACATTTGTAACGAAACCCAAACACAATACCCTACAAGTTTGCTAATTCCGTACCTGTGGTTTGCGTCAGTCGAGATTTTTGCTGGGCATTTTTACGCTAGCACCAAAAGTATGGTCATCTTAACAAAATATACTTTAAATGAAAATATTTGGAGTATTTTTGAAATTGCAACACAAATAATTTAAAAAAAACGTTACTGTGAAATAGTGTGAACTGAGTTTGGCAATTTGAATTTTATAAATTTATATTATGTAGATTTATTTTTAATTTTACACGTGACCCAAAGTTTCGGGAAAGAGGCCTATGCTGTATAAAAGTCACAAGGCAGGTGTGGGGCTCCGTGAGACGGCCAGGCATGTTGCGTAGTTGGTGTAGCAGATTATTTGGTATAATTCCGTATCTATGTAGCTGTGCCAAACTTCGGGATATTTGGTGTATTTGATGACTAATAAATTCCTTCTGGAGCAGTCTGTAATGTTATGATTTCTCTGATGTAAATAAATATCTGAGAACGGTGAGTGTGAAATAACAAATTGTCCTCCCACACTTAAATAGCTGTTTTGGTCCCGAGTGCGCAGTGCTCTTTTCATTCCTTCTCTCCGTTATATTTTGCAAGATAAAATTATTTGCGCATTCATAATTGTCTTGGAAACATCTGTACTAGGGAAATACATGTTACCATTTAATTAAGATATACTTATACCATTGGCATCACAGTATATCATACCTGCCAACCATTTGAAATTTCAATGGGGGAGATTCTGCATGCTTATCGTTAAAAACATAAGTAATTGTGAGTTTAACCCTCTAGGGACTCAATAATCTTTAACTCATTCACCCCTGAAGACACATTTGAACTCTTCCAATTCAAAGTTTGGAATAGTTCATTATGAAATTTCAGGGGAAAATGAGTTAAAAAGATATATTTGGAGTTGTTCTTTCATATGAAATCATTAGATCTCAGAAGGCATCTATAGGAATAGTTTAGCAAATTCACTGAATGGAAATACTAAATTTAAGGGTCTAAAATTGGGAATCAACCTCCTAAATAGAAAGAGCTGGCAAGTATGATGCATAATAAAAACATTTTGAAGTCATTTTCTATGGAAGTATATCATATAAATCATATTTTGTAATGCATTTTACAGAATAACAACTACAATTGTATTTGAAATTTGAAAAATAAAAACAGAAATAAAAGCTACATGGAGTCAAACTAGGGACATATCCTCTGACAATCATACATTTCACCAATATTGCTATAATGGAAGTATCAATGCACATCATCAAAATGAGAAATGGAGTGCCTTGCCAAGGGAAGGTAACTCCTAGCTTTAAATTTCTATTTTGTTGCTTCATTTTCTATATACATTATAGATAATACTCTTGGTTGAAAAAACAGGTCTGAAGTGAAATTCTTCTATGGAATTATGCCAAACAAAAATTATGTGTTTCTTGTTAGATGTCTGAAAAAAA